TATTTGTGTTGTCCAAAGTGGAAAATGATATATGAATTTAAGAAATAGATGATTAGCACAACACAACTGAATTTTAGTTCATTAAGGCACAATAATTCTGTACTCAAATACTTTTGATCCTGTTTGCACTGCTCCATGCTCTTTCAATTTTGGACTAATGTGATTAGCATCTATTAAGCGCGAGACCTTTCTCTACAGGGAGTGTTGCTTATCAGATCTGGGTCATCTTCCCATTGAAAACTCTCTCAGACAACAAGTGAAGTGGCAAGATTATTGAATCTTCCTAGCTAGTGGCTGATCGGTAAGTGCTGCTCATTAGAGCTTTTCCTTTCATACTCGCAGCTTGCTAACTAGCACCTGGGAAACTTGTTTCTTGAAATCTATTTAGTAATCCATGTGACCAGATGTACTTCAAGGTGTGCCGAAACAGACATTATGTCATCTCCAGTGGAAGCAAATGGAACTTTTCCCAAAAGGTAAGTGAAGCATCAGTGTGAAAAGCTGTAGATACCAAGGTCTATAACTACATCRTTACAGTGTTTGCTAGGATCCACACTGTCTGTAACCTGGTATGGAAACGTACAGTGGAGGGAAACCTGACTGTTACTGTGAACTGTCTTTCTCAGTAGCTCCTTTGAAGTCCCAAAACCTGAAACAAATGCAGAAATTCACAAGTCCTAAGTTATGAGCATGTTCTGCAAGTACCAGCATAGCCTGATGGCAATGTAAAGTTGATTTGTGCTTTTACAGAAAGTACTGAGTGGAAACTGTGGGGCAGGCGCTGAGCTGTGATTACTGCTGCTGAGTCCTGCTGCGTAGCACTGCTGCAAACTGTGCACGCTGATATCCCAGAGTCAAGCAGGCTGTTATTACTGTCACTGCGTGTCCATACAGACTTCGCCATTGCAGCACAGCCTCCCTACCCTCTTCTGAACAACTCTGCCTTCACAGACTTTAATGGCATGACCTATTATGCCTTTTCTGCTTGAAAATACTTATATTAGTGAAATCGTAAAGGCTTCTGCTGCTCTGTGTGCAGATAAACTTTGCTATCAGTTATGTAGCTAGTTGTGACTGATTTATGCAAGTCCCAGACTGAACCCTGAAGGTGATACAGACAGTGCCAGGCAATCACAGCTCTGCTCTTTGCTATCTGACTTCTGCTCTATATAGCCACGCTCTGTGTACTTCTGCTGTGGCCCCACCAGCAATCCTGATGCTGTAAATGTTTGTCTGTTTGGGTGTGACAGCAGCAGATAAACCCTTTGGGAGTTCCACAGTGAAATCAGATCCCCCAGAAGTGTCCTGCTAAAGTCTTTTCATGGCTATGGACATTTCTGATTTGCTGCCGGAGGTTGGGTTGTGTTGTATCTTCCCTCTGTGATTCCGTTTGTGTATGTCCTGTGTGACCTGAACCTGCTATGGCTKGTTTTGCGATGTCCTCTTTAGTACTGGGGTTTATCCGAGGATCTGTTCACTGGAGGGGCCAGTCTGAGACAAGTCTTCATGGAGCCCACCGCTTCCCAGTGACTGTCACTACCCAGGAGAGGTAATGGCAGGTGATCTTTAAAAGGCTTTTTTATCTGATACCAAATACATGAGGGACAGCACTATTGCACAGCTGAAAAAATGGCAAGTCTTAAATGCATCTAGACCCTATATTTCTGAGAAGCGTTTACGGTACACATCACTGCAGACACTTAGACGACTTTAGGAGTTCTTACTTGAGGAAAAGCAATACTGGAATCTGTGATAATTTGTTGGAATTAAGCCACTAGAATTTGACTGCAGTCTTCACTGCTCCTGGGGCTGAATTATTTTCATTTTTAAGTGAGGGTTATTTCTAAAACCAGAGTCAGTGAATATCTTCAGTGTGTATCAACTGTCATCTGCTTAATTTCTGACTTTGAGATGGGTGTCTTGAGAATAAGCTATTTCTGTCCTGATACTGATTAGGAGATTGTACAAATTTCTGTACAATTTAAGGTAGGGCCTGGATTCCCTCTGCAATCATTGGAGTTAGGCAAATCCAGAGGACACTTTGACCATACATAAAATGGATGACTTGCCCTCTAAAAGTGCATGTCTCCCTCTGCTGATTACAGAGCCTCTCTGCTGTGCTTGTTTTCGTTTTGACAAAATGTTGTTCTTGATTCCTTGTAAAAACCCAGTTTAGGCTATTTCCAGTATGTAAGAAATGGAAGTCTACAGACTTTGCAAATATATTAAATCCACTTTTTAATATGAGCAGAGGCAGGTTTATTACGTCTTCACATTACTGTATGTTCTTTATTCCCTTACTGTGAGCATTCAGTTGCCAGCTCTGCTGGGCTGCTGAATGCCGTTGAATTGCGGGATACAGAAGTGCCATCTTGGAGCAGAGCCACCATGTAGGCTGTTATCCCGTCACCACCGCTGCGCAGCCCCACGCAGGCGCTGCTGGCAATAGCCTGCGGCCCCGGGGCGAGCGGTAGGGAATGGCCCCCTGCTCTCGTGGTGCTCACCATCATGTGCATCAGTTAATGAATGGTGTGAATTCTGAAACATTAAGTATTTTTTCTATATAGCTGATACYTAAATTATACTATTTTGGAAATATCTACTTAATCCCTCTCTTAGTATTGAATCCTATGCTTCAGAGGTCTCCTGTGACAGCAAGATCTGCAGTTTGATTACAYGTAATATGTAGAAGTGTTGTGTTGCACAAGCTTGTTTTACCACCTTGCACTGTTACGGATGCCTCCTTGCTTTTGAAAAGACACACACACAGATTAGGAGTTTCTCATGTTCCTTATTTTCTCTCTGCTGTTTTCTGCATCATTTCTGAGACAGTGATCCTGATAGTCTGTTTTCCAGGGGAAAAGATTTTTTTCCAGGGGGGAGATGTCTTTCCTACCCTTCCCCAAGTCTCTCTTGGTTCTCCAAGATCCTTTCCGTAGATGCAGGAAACAGAATGCATATAATATTCCAAATAAATGGGGGTCAATGATGTCTGCTTCTAATATAATCTTCACACTTATCACTACAGTTGTGCACAGAAATACTTCTGTCACTATTTGTCTAAAATAATGCTGATATCCTTTTCTTGATTAAATACTGCCAAGTAAACATACTCGTAATTCAGCTAATTTGGAGTTCAAATGTAGTAGTAATTCTCCCTTTTTTCTCCCAATGAAGTTTGCATGTATCAACTTTGATCTTCTTTTCTTAATATTCTGTCCATTCAGCTAGTRTGATGGGATCCCTTCATGTAATAATTTCATTTTTTATTCTGCTGTGCATAGTGTGTTTTTATTGATAATTGAACTGAGATTCTGCATTTCAAGGTAGATATAATAATCCATAGTGGTCTATGTGGAAACACTTTTAAGTAAATGTTAACTAAGCATATCAGGAAAATATGCAATATTTAATGCTATATTAATTTTTTAAATAAAATAATGAAGACTAATAACTTTTTTACAGAAATAACTAATACTTTTTAAAATAGAATAATGAACTAGCCATAGTGACATGAGTGAGAAGGARAAAAGTGTGGGAGGAACTAAGTACTTTTAAAATCAGTTTCTAATTCATTTGTTTGTTTCTGTGTAGCTGACAAATGTCTATACCAACACAAATCCAAAAATGTAGATGTCCAGGATTATAATTTACCACAACATAGCACAAACAGCTAGAGCTAATTTACTACTCTGAGTTAATTTTGAAATTATTTCATTTGAAATAAAAATTGAGAAATCCATATTAAAGTAKGATGTGAGCAAAAGGAAAGCAGCTAATGGAGACTCACTTTCTTGCAGAGGAGCCTCCCCCTTACGCATTTAAAGAAGCCCTGTATGTGCAAGAAAAACTGATAGATAGATAAAATTTGATAGTAGTGTTGGGAAAGGGCTGAAAACATGATAGAGAAAATCTGAAGAGAGATGGAAGTGAAAGTGTTTGGCAATTTAATTTAGAGATATTGAAGAAAGAGAATTGAAAGACAGATTATTCAGCAACTGTTTGGCAACCTGGGGAAGAGCGAGGTGCCAGCTTGTCTGGGGGTAAAATAACTGACACTGAGAGTGGCAAGACTGGGCTGAAGTTACAGCCCATAGCGCCGGGGCCTGGGGAGCTGGGTCGAGCACGAGGTTTGTGGGACATTTTGTGCAACTTCCAATAATGGAATTGATGCATCAAATGYGAGACCCAGGGCCCAACGTGTGGGACTCTGGAGGGACCTCTTTGCTGGATGTAGTTCTCAGACCCTAAGGAGGTACCTGGAGAATGGCAGGTCTGCCTTGGTTTTACTTTTTCACTTTCTCAGTCGTCTCCCTCTTCTCCATCCTTTTTGCTGCCTTTCCTGACTATACAGACTGTCCAAACTAGAGCTGGCTAATTAGACTGCCAAGTTAAAGTAAATAGTTCTAGTYCTGAGAGTGAACAGTTGTGGTTCAAATTAAAGCTGAAACATGCTGTCTGCGTACATCTGTACTCTGTGCCTGCTGTTTTACTGATGGTCACATCCTTCCAGTGATCTCAGTGGTTTTTCTTTAAACAGAGACTGATTTTCTGAATTATGGACAGGAGCAAGTTTAGAACAGTCAAACTGAATTCAATTTCAATGSCCATTTATCCTCTCTCCTTCACCCGTCTTTCCATCTTCTTTTTCTGCTTTCCTCCTGTCTCRAGAACAATTACAATTATACAGATAATTTACGAATTTGTATAGTTCTGACTTTGAAACCAATCCTCTTTCATTGTGAACTGACATTGAAGATATGCTGGATTAACTCAGATAGTGCTGTATCCTTTTCTTCCACCTCTGAAACTGCAAGAACTCTTAAGCCACATCCACACCATAATTGTAGATATATACACTAGGCACATTTTTCTTAAAATGAATAATAGAAAATCAGAATGGAGTGCAGGAACAAAACACTATGGAAAAACAGAGATTTTGATAGCCACATTTTAAGCATAGTGTGCAGCCTAAAGACTTTAAGAAGCTGGGATCTTACCTTTGTGGTCTTTGGTGGTCAGAAACAAAAGCATCAGACTGCATTTGGTATCAGTTTTATCCTCACCACGTTGCAAATGACAACAGGGTAGCGACCGAAAGGAGAAGTACAACTGGAGGCGATAGGTCCCTCTGATGATATTATTGTCCTTTATTCATGCACAAATTGGAGTTTTGAAATTCTTTCATGGGACTAAGAAAAGTAGATTGAGAAAGGTATTTTAGAAATGCCCAGGGCAGAGCTAAGAAATACTTGCAAAAGATGTTTCCTCTAATAAACCAGTTATCTAAGGTACTTGCGTTGCTTGCTAGTTATAGTCTAGTAAATATTTAACTTATAAATATGATACTTGAGGCTGCGTGATTTATAAGTGGGTGTAGTTCTAACGTTGGCATTTACTGTTGCCTTTTGTTGTGGACAAAGCCTAACTAAATTAGCAGCTGAGGTAAAGATCACCATGGTTTACTGTAATTTCTGGGGTGATAAAAACATTAGGTAGGTGTTAAAGGTCGGTTTTAATTTTAAAAAAAGTGAAATTCCCATTTCATGAACTATTATAAATTGAATAAATATACTAAGAATCTTTAGGAAAATCACAGCAAATGCATTTTAAGTTTGCACTTCTGTGGTCAGGAATGCATCATCTGAACAGCATCATCCCAGTTTTCTTAGAGATGTATGAGAAGGCTATATAGGGTATGGAAAGTATGTTTTCGTTCATGGAAAAATGTTTTGTGAGCAATAATATCATGGCAACCTTTCRATTTTCCTTTGTCATCTTTCATGACACCTTGATTTATAGATCCTGTGGTGGGTGACCAATGAAAGGAGACGTGGCTCTCTGAGCTGCACCTTGCACTTTGCAGGATCCAGCACACGTTTCCTTTATGGGCAGCRTCTGCGTTGAATCCACAAAGGATGTGGCCAGAGAATGTGCACTCTCAGCTATGTGTGTGGTATGTTAGACAGCTGGAGGATCTCTAAAAGCCTCTTCCCTCAGATGACAATATTAGAATACTCTTTTTAGCATCTGCTGCAATGAGTGTTTACTGCTTTATGCAGGATGTGCATCTTTATATTGTATAGGCTGTCAAATGTTGTTATTTTCAGAATATTTCCTTTAAAAATACTTTACATTTACATCTTCCCAGGGTGTCTGTAGTGGGTATATGACTATAGCATGGATTGTTGACAAAATAATTTTAAAGGCTTCATTTAAGTATCTCGCCTTTGAGGTGCTGTGCGATAAAGTCTCCCTCTTACGGGATCTCCCGGGTACTGCAGTGACTTGCACGGGTTCCAGCTGCTCTTGGGGGGCCCACAGGGCTCGAGACCTCGGCCACCAGGGTCCCAGGGTCCCCGAGCCCGCGCTGCCCTGCGCATGGGCCCTGTGCTCCATGGGGCAGCGGGTAGAAGTGAGGAGCGATGCTTCCCTGCCAGGCAAGTAGAAACAGAGGCTCTCCCAAATATCTGCGTTCTTGGCACTTCAGAACGGCAGCTAGCAGGAAGGAAAGGAGCAGAGCATCTCAAGCTCATTTGTKAAATACTTATTTCCTTAAGACAATTGTTTTCAGAGCAACTTAAGAGTCCTAATTCATTTTAAAAGTGCATGTCTATTACTTCAACAGTGTTGCTTATTTTAAAACTTTTATATGCTTTTTGACTAATTATGGAAACACACATACTGGGTTATTTTTTGCTCAGCCTTTGCAAAGGGAGTCGGAAGTGTAATTATGAGATTATAATAGTGTGCACCTCCATAGCATGTTTAATATAGACTAACTTTGTAGCATATTAAAGCATTAGCAGCAAAGGTTTATTTTTGTTACATTGTGCATGCTTTGGCCAAACTGGAATATACTGCTCCCTGAATAAACTTAGTTTTCTCTAAAATATATGCAGTAACCGATGGCAGTATTTGCACCTTACTTTGCATTTCTTGTGAATGCATGCATCTGTGGTTATACTCATGCTGGAAAGACTCATATCTGGAATCTTGGAAATTGGAGGCCGATTGCACCATAAAGTTTAAGCATGTAGAGGGCACAGGCAAGTGCCCTTGGCTCAGCCCTGCCTGGCTGCTGTCACGGCATTTCCAGGGCAGCTCTGTATGGCCAGTGGCAGCAATCAATAAAGAGGACAGTAAAGCCAAAGGTCGTCAGGGAGATGATTTTGATGCATTTAAAAAAAGAAAAAAAAAAAGAAAAAAAAAAGTTTGCTGCCAAAAGCAAATGAGAATGTAGTAAACATAAATGTTTAGAAAAGACTGGACAAAACAGAGAAGCACTTGCCAGACTTTGAATGATTTGAAAACTTCCTTTATATTACAAACATTTTCTTTCATGGAAATATGCCCTGGGTCTGTTTGATGGAAAAACAGAAACATGTTTTTTGCTCTACAGGTTTTGTTTTGGGAAGACATGCAAAAATATTCATAGATATACATTAAAGCCACAAACCACATCACTTGAGTTTATATTGAAACTTTGGCCTTTCTAAGGGAAGAACTGCCAAGTATTTGTCTGAAACTCTGGAATTTCCTTCTGATTTTGATTCTGTTTCTCAGCGTTAGAACTGTGGGTTAAATTAGCTGTTTGCTTTTTGTGTGTGTTGCAGAGATTTTCAATCAAATATACAGTAGTTAATGTCTTCCAGCTTCTTCTAAAGTGCTGTAAAGATTGCATTTTAAAGTTTTGTAGCTAAATTTCATTTCTGTTTCAGTAAAACAAGATTTTTTTTCTAGCTATTCATATCAAAATACATTCAGTTGTTTATTTTTGGTGACAAGACCTAGATGCAGAGAAGCAAGGATGTTAAAGGTTTCATTTTCACTGTCCTTCCCTTCACAGCAGCCTTGTTCCAAAAATGAAGTGATAGAGGCTGACCTTCTGATGCCATCTTTATTCAGGTAGTATCTTCTTTTTGTGAGAACTCAATTCAAGCAAGACAAAATGAAAAATAAATTTAAGTAATGATGAATTAATGCTGCTTTAATGGAATATTCCTAGGTGGTTTGAAGTTTAATGCAGTGGCTGTATAGCAAATTTTTTTATTTTAATGAGGTAAACAAAATAACTGCCCTTTACATCATATTATCAATAGACCGAGTTTGATTAAATTAGAGCGGAAGCAGTTTGCAGGCTGAGGCAGAGATATTGTGGAAATGCTGGGTTCAAGAGCAATGGCATAGCAAAGATTTTTAGGTATAAATCATAGCCACAGGAGCCTAAATACAATTAGATTTGGAAAGCTGCCTGCATTAGCAGATTGTGTTTTGATGCTTCTCCAAGGCTTTTTCTTTCCTTTTTTTTTTTTTTTCCCCTCTGCAAAAGCTTGGTTAGATTTATTCTTTATAGATTGCAGAGAACTCTGGACCAGAATTTGCAGAAATGGCTCCTCTGGAAGGTTTGTGGTCCTCAGCCCCACAGGGATACTTGCTGTTTGTGGACTGCCATCCAGGGCAGTTGTAAGGTGGTGCCTGTTTGCTGATTTTACTGTGATTTGGTACTTGCAGTTCTATACCGTGGTTGGAGCTAGCATTCATTGATTTATCTGAGATAGATTTATAGATAGAAAGTGACCTCTATACTATTCTGTACATTTGCGACAGGAGTTTTAGGTGAAGTGTCTATGATGAAAGCACCCTCTAGCTTGAAGTGAACTGCAAGCTAGCAGCTTCTGCTGAACTCGCAAAATAGGTGATGTGCTGCTCAGGTGTGAACCAGGGTAACTCTGACTGAATTTTGCATTGAGCTTCCCTGGTATTTTTGTAACTTGAAACTGAAAGGCTCTTACCTGCTCTTCCAGAGCTCCAGGCTTTAATGGAGACAGGACAGACTCAGTGTTGAACTCAGGAGATTTTTTTTTTATTTATTTTTTCATCAAAAATGACTGTTTATTTTATCTGTCTCAGTCTAGGGGTCTTTAGAAGTCCTCAGACTGTGGCACAGCAAAAGCACCTGGTTTTTGAGAGCTGCTCTCTATCCCCTTGGGATTCAGGCTCCTTCAAAGTGTGCCGTGTGGATGTTCAAAGGCAGGAGAAGCTGCGGGGAGGGAGYGCTCAGCAAGAAGGCTGCAGCCTGCAGATGGGGTGTCCTCTAACAGCCATCAGCCCTCGCTGCTCTGCAACAAATGGTCTGGTGGGTGCCTATCTCTTCTGATCTCTGATTCTGGTTGTTGAATAGTCCTTTTGATCCAGCATTGGAACTCAGAGCCAGGAAATGAACTTTAAAGAGATGTCAATGTAGCAATGTGTTACTAATTCCTCTTCACATTTGCATGAGGGCCTGAAGAGTTTGGGATAAAACTAAGTAGTCCTAATGAAAGAGAATTTTTTATAATTATATTATGTACTAAGCTAATAGGTGCTTCAGAATTTTGCTATTGCTTTAACTAGAAAGTATGAAAAGCTCAAAACCACTGTGAAGGATGTGTTAATTAAAATTATTAATGAAATATGCTGAGCTCTAGATGCTTGTTCCCATGCACAAAAATACAGGGCTCCATAATTAAGACCCATTAAGTACTGGCTGAGTTAGCAGTCTCAGGTGCTGGCTGGCGTTCAATAYGGCTATTTTTTTGCTCTGTTAGTTCCATAAATGGGGAGGAGAAGAGTGCCCTAGTAGCAATCCAATTTTTACTAATGGGAAGGTGCTTAAAATGCAAATGAAAAGCTCTCCTGTCCCCTCTTTTGGTACAAATAGTAAGTATCTTCAGTCTGTCTCCATTTTTCTCCTGATAACAACAATTTATTATCTGGGACTGTGCTGTGCASATTTGCATGCTGCTCAGCAGCTGTGCTACCATACAAAGATCATAGATCTCATTCCCATGTAAGGACACCTCTCTCCTCTGTACAGAAACTCATTAATTTTAATACACACCAGTGAAGCAGGTCTCCTCCACAGCAGCATGTTGTGTTGCTCCTGCACCACTGAGCTCATTATTCTTTTATTAAGAAAACAAGAAGGAATACAGTGTCTATAGTGAATACAACGTGTATAGTCCTACCATTATCTTACACATACATCACAGGGCATCAGCCCTCTTCAGAAACACAGAGGCACTGCTTGAAAAATGAAATGAAGTAGCTTTGTTTTTTTTTTTTTTTAAGGCCACTAAGTAAGGAACATGTGTCACACTGATTTTTGTATTCTGTGGTTTTCTTCTCCAAGCTCTCCTTATTCAGGAGCTATACAGGTCAAGAYTCAAAAAATTGGCTATGTGAGAAATGAATGC